CATCTCAATTATATTAATTAAATCATTAATAAACACAGTAAACAACAACGGTCCTAAATTGGAACCCTGAGGAACTCCAGTTTCTTGAATAAAATTCAACAACGGGTCATGGTCAATTTAACAAATACCCTAAAAAAATCAGCATAAATGACATCAACCTGAAGATTAATATATTGCGTTATTGAAATTAAATTTGTTTTGATGGAGCGTTCTTTAACCGTTTGATTAATGGATATCATTTGAGAAACATGGCTTGAAAAATTAGTATAAAAAACACCTTCCAGTATCTTAGTATTCTTAGTAAAACTACAAAGAATTGTCACACGATTTTGGTTTGTGTTTTACAAACACATTAGCACATCTTCTCACAACAAGAGTCGGAATTTGATCTGCCCCACTTAAGTGAATCTGATGAAAAATTGCTCTGAGTAAAGGATTGGTAGATCTGATAAAGTACTACCATTATGATACAGGGTGATTTTTTTTAACATGAAACTTTCAGATTTCTCGGAAAATAAGCACTGTGCGAAAAAATGTCCAGAATCAAAATTTAATCATGCCACGGGGGAAATACACTAGTGCTAAAATTAGCCACACTAGTGCTAAAATTAGCCCCCCTCCCCCTCTCCTTGTAGGTGGGGCAGGGGTTAACTTCGAAGCCTTAAATGGGAACTGCTATTTTCTTATTACAGATTCGGAGTCTACGGATCTAAAGGTACGTATGATTTGTCTGAAACTTTTTTTTCGAATTGTGATAGATGGCGCGGAATCGACGAAATTCAAATTTTTCGAATTTATCCTACTGCGAACCTATGCAGTTCATTTTTCAAAATGTCTCGGTACATTTCACCATTCAAGTTGCCTTCAGAAATGTGGCGACTCATTTTTGATTATTCACAATGAAAACGTGATATTTTTTACTGCAAAATTGTACGCATAGGTTCTCAGTAGGAGAAATCGAAAAAAATGAATTTTGTTTATTACAGCACCATCTGTCATGAGTATAAAAACAAAATGTTTTAGAGAAACTCTACGTACTTTTAGCTGTAGAATCCGAAACCGTAATATAAATTTCTATTTAAGATTTCAAGTTACCCCCGTCCCACCTAAAAAGAGGGGGGAGGGGGACTAGTTTTTTGTATCAAAGTATTTCCCCCATGGAATGATTACATACTGAATCTGATCATTTTTTTGTAGTGTTTATTTTTCGGGATATTTGAAAGTTTGAGGTTAAAAAATCACCCTGTATATCATACTAATTGGAACAGATGGAAAGTCTTTTTTAGATTTAATAAAAGACCACAATTTTTTTGGATTACTCTAGAAATCATAATTTATTTCATCCAAATAAATATGATTTATATGCTAGATTCAATTCATATTTAATTTGAGTCCTAAAATTTTAAATTACTCGTAATCATTAGGTGATTTGGTTCTTTTATAAGGTAATAAAGGTTTTATTTTTCTTGGAATATACAATTGAAAGATTTCCTTTAAAACAGATTAACAATGATCAACTATCAACATCAGAGTAAACCTGAAGAAATGATGCAGTGACAAAAGTGATTAAGATACTTCAATATCAAGGGCAGGGTGGTGACTGTCTTCCGCCAAGAATGGATTATTAAACCTAAACACAGGACGGTTAACATCTTTGTCAACTAAAATTAAGTCTAAGTTAGCGTTGGACGGGTATTTAAAATCGACGTGGGTAAACTCAACAATCTATTTCTTACTAACTCAAATTTACACGACAAATTACACAGCGATTATGTACAAAATAATTCCGGCGCAACTTGTCTGGATTTTCGCAACACTCGCTGGAACTCGACTCGTTGACTGAATAACCTCGTTCCCGAAGGTGGCCTCTATTTAAACCCATACTTCGGCAGTCGAGGTCTTTCTGGAATACCCATCGCGACTTCCGCTTCCAGGCTTTTCTTTAGCGAACGCCGTACCGGGGCGGCGTATGGGTTTATGTCGTAACGCTATTCATGAATTTTAAAGGCGTAGAAAATGACGTATCATCAACTTTCGAATGAATTACAAACTCGGAAATATTGAAATCATCTAATATAATTAGGTGAAACCCATACAGGTAACACATAGACATCAAAATATCAAAGAAAATAGAATACTAAGTATAATCATTATTATCTCAGGTAGGAGGAATCTAAATAATCAGAATGAACACATTACGAAAGTTAATACTTAATTTGACTATTAATAAATTTACAGAGGCAAAACATCACAGACGTTACCAGGGAATGACCTATCACAGATGGAAGCTGCTACAGTATGGTCAACAGGTAACAAAACACCACCGTTCCTAGAATATTTACGATTTTTCCTAAAAACTTGATGTTTTACTGGGTCAAATAATTCAGTCACTCACATTATTATCATTCACCCAATTTTCTGTTTAGGGTGATAACATTATATATAGATGCAGAAATAGAAGATACAAAACCTCTTGACCTTAATACAGAAACTTCAAAGTCCCTAACATTCAGGAGGCATCTACCTCTGGTATGGTTGACATACTGTGTTACCGTGCTCTTTTGTCTTATTCTTAACCCTGCTCCTGAAGATGCCACTTACGAAAGTGTGCCAAACGTTGCGCCCAAAAACTCAATTAACACGGTTTCAACCCGGAAAACGATCATGTATTGATCCCAACCGTGCAACGCTCCGAAATGATGAAATATCATAGTTAATATTTGAATTTACACTAAAATTTGGCATTCGAGGTAAATACTGTAATTGCTACTTTGTTCCCAATACCTTCAGTTTAAATTTTTGGAGATGATTTTGATATAGGTATAACTTCTTTGTTAATATCCGAAGACGCATGATGATTGATGGCAGTCTAAATCCGGATTTTTTGCACAGTGAATACAATTTAAGTTATCAGCTCGACAGTTTTTAACAAATGTTCTCCAACACATTTTGGACAACCTGGATCTTTTTCAATGGACTATACCTGCTTTTAAAATTTGGCTATAAGAATCTAAATCAGCTTAATAGAATTTATTATAATTACGTGGAGGCTGAAATTTCTTTAAAGTACAAGTAATTGGAAGGAAAGAATAATATTCTTGAAATACGACCATAAAAAGGTTGCTGGAGTAAAATTACAAGATTTCGGGGGCCAGATATTCTCTGAATTTCGATTAATAATTTCATTAACATTGTTATTGTGGTCTCAGCCGAATGCGCTGTAGCTCCGTCTTGTTGAAAATAAGTAAATAGCCTACTTTCATTTCATACTTGTGAAGTTGTTGTATAAAATTTGTTCCTGCTAACTAATAGCACTTAGGTTTTCTTAGTGGATTATATTGACACATTATTGTTATTGTCATGGTTTTCTTCAAAGAATATAGGGCATACTATCCGTCGCTGACTAATTGCAACCAAAACACCAAATTTTTGAGGATGAAAGGAAGTCTCAAGATAAACAGGTGGATTTTCTGTGCTACATTTTCTCATATTTGAGAATTAATGTAGCCACTAAAGTGAAACCAGGCTTCTTCGTCTATAAAAAAGGTTTTCTCCAACGGCCGGTCATCAAATATGTCTAAAAAGCAAATGCAACAGAGAAATTCTTCTCGGAATTCAATCCAAGCCGCTTGAATCGAATATTCCATACACCATTTACTACTTGGAAAATATGACTCAATCATAAACGCTTTTAGTCTACAAGATAAATGCCATTTTTGAGTTAATAAAACAAGAAAAATAAGTTTAGAAGAGATGTTTCATGTGAGACTCGTTAATGTCATAGTGATATTGATTAATAAATTGAGGTAAAATTTAAATCAAAGTTAAAATTCAGTTTGTAGGGATCTTTTGAGAGTCTATTGCAAATATTAGGTCTACAAAATTATCGGCAATTAAAATTAATTGTGTTAAAAACTGTTCTATGATGTAGCTTAAACATATCGTTTCAGAGTAGACATACAGATTCAATTTCAAGGATGAATGGATTACAAATTATGGTTCTCACCAACACTAGCAACTGCAGAGTAAATATGCTTGCAAAATTTCAGGTCAAGTTTACTATTATTAACGATATTATGTATTTACAGTATTTTGAGATAACTTTGTAAACTCTGTGGAGGGGACGAACATATCTATTTTATTCAGCAGTTTGCTGACTTCACGATAATTTTAAAGAACAGTTTTAGAATAACCGATATGACAATTTCAGATTTTATCTTTCAAACATTTTCTGGTAGATCCCAAAAGCCATTTGCCAGGTATAAGACAGACTGTAGAAACTGCTAATAAATTGTGACACATACAGCTCACTTTTAAAAACGAGTCCCCAAATAATAAGATTATTCTGAAATGTTAGCAGAACTTTAATATTATGGTGGAAATATGAAATAAATCTATAATGTTTTGTGTTTGCTGTAGCTTAAAAGTAACCAGAAAAAGAAAAAAGACACACCATGGTATAACCATTTTTCCAATTTTTGTGTCAGAAGAACACAGAGTTTTTTTGCAATCAGTTTTTCTGTTTGGTACCTAACTAGGCGCCTGTATTTGGCCAATAAACTTAGAGTTTTATGACTGTAAGGTCATCCTTCTACGATAAATGTATATTTAGTGCTTAAAGTTACGTAGGCTTAATTAGAAATTAATTAATTGTTTGTGATAAAATACCGCAGTGTTTGTCGACCAAATTTGACACCGAATCTTCTAGAACTTGGGCATCTAGAATTTTCCTTACCCCCATATAACATGTTGTTGTGTACGACAATCTTAAGAAACTATTAATCGGTATAAGAATTCCGAATCGTAGTTCTGACGTAACAGCAGAGGGGTGGCAACAACGAATATGATATAAGGGGGTGAAACTACTCCAGCTAACTGACAAAGCAACAAGAAGTATGGGGTGAACTGATTGGTTGTATTTCTATTACGACATGATTGATTATAAACTGATAATTCTCTGACGCTTGCGCCTTCATCGTGAGAACGCGTTTCCACTTTAGAGTTGCATGTTATCTCGTATTGTGCCAATAATTCGCACGGTATTGCAACTTCGGCGGAAACGCGCTTTTCAAAAATTTCCTCCGTTTTTCCACGTGTAGTTTTCGAGTGACATTTTGAAAGAATGTGTTTTTGAAAAATCATGTGCGTTTGTGAAAATGTGTTAACGGAGGAATTATTGTGGGTGAATTACAAAAAAAGTAATTATGTGTCAGATTGTGCTAATACTTTATATGTGTTGGAAACATAAATTAAAACTGGATTATAATCGATAACATGTCCAGCATTAAGAAAAGCTCAACGAGACGTTCGGAGTAAGTATTTTGAGAAGTGAGCGATTTTCACCTTGTCGCTTCAGCGGACCGACTGTACTTTCAGGTGCAAAATTTTCCAGCCGTATCATTACCATTCGATATTTCTCTGGACGGTTGGTGCACGAGTTCATGTCATTTTATGCAATGCCTTTGACATTGCCAATAGCACATTTTTATCGAAAAAATTAATCAATATCTCAATGAATATCTGGAAATTAGACCTTCAAAATTGTGAAAAATCTGTGTCGTTATGTAGGTTTAAAAAAGATAATATGCAATTAATACATTCTTGACGCTAAGGCTAGTAAAGTACTTTCATTTTCTTTCTGAGAATTATAATTATTGCAATTGAAATCCGGAGCTAGGTATGTAAATGAAAATGACTCCAATAATTTAGACAAACGCAGTTGTATGAGTATTTCTTATACAAATTGTAATGTTATACAAAAAACTGTTACATAAAAATAAATTTTTGTTGAGAAATTAATTTTACTGTTTGAAGTCGGGAATATAATAAACCGTACCATGAATGTAAACAACCTGCCATTTTTAAATCCCTAATTAAATATGACATTTCCACTGCCTCCTGACACTAATACTTACCACTGTTGAATAATCATAAATTTAAAAAACAATTATTTTAAATTGATGACTTAAGTGAACAAATGACACGAGAATAAACAAAATACGTGCGAATTTGCTACAAATTCTAAATATTTTACTACAGATTTTTTGCTATAAAGTAATTAAAATTTCTCTGTATTAGGTACTTTAAATGTATTAAAAGCTATTGGGAAAAACTGTAGCTGATGAAAGATTTTACAAAAGCATTGTCTTATTTCCAACTTACCCTAGCAAATCTCATCGTGCAAGCGTCATGCAATAAAATTATGTAAAATGATATCGTTTTCTGCATTTTTGTTACCATGTACAAGACAGTTACAGCATAATTATATAAAACCAAGAAATTATTTGCTTGCTGAATACAGTGTGTACTTTATATTATTAATTTATTTATCTTAAATAGGCAGTTATCTGTATTAAATAAAGATATTACATAGATAATAAAAAATATATTTGTACAATTTTTCAGAAAATTCATCATTTCAAGTATTTAGGCTAAAATCCACGTCTCAGTAAATGTGATAGAGAAAATATAGTGTACAATCCACATGGAGTACCAATTAATTCAACCCCCAGGTTTATTGTATAAGATGTGATTACGCTATTGTTGCCTAATACAAACTGCTTTGTCATTATCGTTTTACATCTAGTAGATAATGCCGTTTTCGTTTGTCTGTCTACGGCGTCTGTGTGTTTAAAAATTTGTTGAAGAGAAAGAAAAGATTTTCACAAATATAGATTGATTTTCATGTACAAAATTTTCTTCAATGAATGTAAAGTTAGTATTATTATTCCCTCACAGAAGGCTATTAAAAAAAATCCTAACCAAGCAATGAAAATGGAGGTAGCACTTACCCATTCGAAATAAAATTTGTAGCGGTTGTTTTCAGTTTTTCTTTAAACACCTGTTGAGCTTGACTTTTATCTGTTTATTTTACTTCTATGTCTATGATAATATTGTGTGTAGGCATTTTATATGATATTAAGATTCAAAAAATAATTTGAAAAATTGAAAAGTTTGTTTTTCTGGAGAACACTGTACCATCTGTCATACAATCATGAAACTAAAATTGTTTTATTATTTTGTGATGATATATTTTATCTACAACTGCTTTATAAAGGCCTTATTACACGACTCATTCGTCACTGTTTGAGTTGAGTAATAATAATTGTTCCACTAGTGGTGTAATAGGAACATTACGCCACTAGTGGTGTAATGAAGGTCTCCACTCCTTAACTGAATTTTATTAACATGCAAATTCCAACAAATTACATTAATTTATTCTTAACTTATTTGGTATTTACGTTGATAATGCTCTCTTATTAATATCCTCGAATTTTTGGGCTTGTAGCCCACTGACCGCTTTTTCAAAAAAGTCGTTAAATTATTAAATTTACTGATGTGAGATGTCTATATTTTATCGCATGGAGATTGTAACCCGCAAAAAATGCCAACAGCACCTTTTTTCTTGCTTCATTATTTATTTTATCGGATGCACATCAGTGAGGGAACCGTTTATAAAATTTTTCGTATTTGGTTTTTGATTTATCAGGCAAAGATTCGAAAGGCAGGCTTTCTGCTTCAGAAACACTCATTTCTCGACAATTTTTTTTTTTTCTAAAAACTGACGGTCTAACGACCTCGTCATCTGCAATCTTCACACTCGTAGTACTGTAATGATGCCTCTATTCTACTAATAAGATAATTAACAGTAACTATTGTCGTCGACTAGTATTATAATTCTGTCATTATAGATGTCAAAAAATCGTTCATAAGTAGGTTGATTCCGGCAGACCGTGCTATAATTGGAATTTGTGCCGTAATGCTGTGCCATAAAGGCGTCATGACAACTTAATTAAACACTTGTCTATTTAATGTTTATTCTTTATTAATTTAATTAAAAGCTTCCGATTTTTAGGGACTAAACTTGACTCAGCTTTTGCAGCTTTTTGCAAAATTTTCGTGGATAAATTTGTAAGCGTCGTTGTCGCACATTTTTACAAAAATGTTCTTATTTATTTAATTTAGTAACCACTATGTTAGCAATCGTCATCCTCGTTAAAGAGATTTTTTCAGAACTTCATTTATAAAATTTGACTAATTGAATTTTCAGGATTGATGTGAATCCCTAGCATTATAAACTAATACATATAATAATATACTATACATACTAACAATATTTAAACTGAATCTAACAGTTAATAAATAAATACGCCTTGATTTTTTATTATACTACGTGTCATAGTAATAAAAGTTACATTTTATACTAGCTTTAGTACTTGCTAAGGTAACACTAATTTTGGCAAATGACATACTCTCTAACAAAATAGAGGGTGGGTAGGGGGAGTTAGTACTGGCTAAGGTAAGACTGATTTTGGCATTTTTTACGTTTTTGACCATTTTAAACTATTTTCGAAAATTAGATGAAAACATTTTCTTGTAGATTTCGACATCCAGGAGTCATTTTCGTGTTCGTTTTTACAGTTCCGACAACTAAGCTCGCTATAAAAATTTTGTAGTTAATAAAGGGATTTATTAATTTTTGAGAATATCCTAGAATTTTTTATGAATTTTGACAACGTCGCTAAAACCCCAAATTTTCAAAAATATGAAATTTTTTGCCTTTTTCAGAGCATTCACCCAAAATTATCACAAGAGTTTTTTTTAGTTTAATTCGACCTCCGAACGTTTTTTCGTCTTCATTTCTTCAAACATTTTTACCAATTTTCCACATTACCAAAATACAGAAAGGGAATTTTTAAAACTTCTCAAAATCTCAATCTGAAGTTAAATATTTTAAAAATCTTGGTCAACCATCAAAAGTAGTTATATTTTTTGATTCAATTGGTCGAAATCTAGATTTCAGATTTTTTTGTAGATTTAGAACATAATTAGCCCCGCCCACCCACCCTGTCTCTTTTTTAGTGATTGGTTTTATCCTATCCGAATGCAATGAATGTTCTTATACTGAACAGAAATAAAATTGGTCCTTAGAATGTGAATAGGGCAGTGGGCGGGGCTAGTACTTGCTAAAGATAAGAGAGATTTTGGCAAATTACATAACCCCCAAAAAATAGAGGGCGGGGCTAGTACTTGCTAAGGTAAGACTAATTTTGGCAAATGACATACTCTCTAACAAAATAGAGGGTGGGTAGGCGGGGCTAGTACTCACTAAGATAAGACTTATTTTGGCATTTTTTACATTTTCGACCATTTTTAAACTATTTTCGAAAATTAGTTGAAGACATTTTCTTGTAGATTTCGACATCCAGGAGTCATTTTTGGGTTCGTTTTTACAGTTTCGACAACTGAGCTCGCTTTAAAAATTTTGTAGTTACTGAAGGAATTTATTAATTTTTGAGAATATCCTAGAATTTTTTATGAATTTTGACAACGTCGCTAACAGCTCAACTTTTCAAAAATATCAATTTTTTTGCCTTTTTCAGAGCATTCATCCAAAATTATTACAAGAGTTCTTTTTAGTTTAGTTCGACCTCCGAACGTTTTTTCGTCTTCATTTTTTCAAACATTTTTACCAATTTTGCAGCATTACCAAAATATAACAAGGGAATTTTTAATATTTCTCAAAATTTCAATCTGAAGCCGAATATTTTCAAAATCTTGGTCAGGCATCACCAAGGAGTTATATTTTTTTATTCAATTCGTCGAAATCTATATCCCAGATTTTTTTTGAACATTTTTTAATAACATTACTTAAAGCTCAATTTTTCAAGAGTATGAAATTTTTGACTTTTTCCCGAGCATCGTCAAAAATTAGCAAAAGATTTTTATGTTGATTTCGACCTTCAGAAGTTCTTTTCAGGCTGAATTTCTTCAAAAATGTCCATTTTTTTCTTCAGAGTGGTTAACATAATAATGGTAATTTTTGAGATTCATAAAAACTCCAGTTTGAAAGCGAATTTTTCGAAAACTTTGACCCAAAATCATCAGCAAGTTATGTTTTTCGATTCAGTTCGTGGGGAACTAATTTTTTAAAAGTATTACATTTTTGACCTTTTTCAAAGCATTCATCCAAAATTACCAGAAGAGTTTTTTTTAGTTTATTTCGACCTCCGAAGGTTTTTCGTCTTCATTTCTTCAAACATATTTACCAATTTTCTTTGATATAACTTATGTTAAATACTACTACGTGTAAAATTTTAGTGTATAAATGTATAAGTTAAAATTATTTTAAAACTGTTACGTATGCAGAAAACAAATTTTGCTCAACAATTGGCCCAGTACTTTCGGTCTAATAAAAATCCGTGACCGCAAACAGACGGGCAGACGGACAGACAGACGGAAACGGGAGACCTATTTCTTCGCCCGCTAGGGGTCATGAAAGGTCGAAAAAACGTAAAAGTAGAAAGTCGAC